GTTGGCTCGAGATTGTGTATTAGACATTCCTATATCGAGTGTGGCATCGGAATGTGCATTTAGCACCGGTGGTCGTATTCTTGATCCATTTAGAAAGTTCATTGACTCCCAAATGTGTGTAATGTCTTATTTGTATCCAAGATTAGTTTATACAAGAAACTAAGCCTATTTGTGTTGAAGAAAATTAGGAGTTTATTGAAAAAATTGAACTTGGTAAGATTTGTTATTTTTTTTTTGAAAAAATAAAATACTTATTGTGTTGTATGACATATTTGATTTTCTTATTTATAGAAATGACAAATAATGGAAGAAACTCTTACATTGTTTGATCTATGATTGGCTTGCAAATCTCAAGTATTTAATAGTGGTGAGTTCATTACGACATTTATTTAATCATATCATTTTTTAATCCTAAAAGTTGTATTCTAACATTTGATTTTATTTTAAAAGGTCCAAGAGTCGAGACAATGAAGAAAGATATAAAGTACCAACTTTTGTTAGTGTTTTTTGTAATCTTGTTGGCGCTTGAGTCTTGAAAGTAGTCTCGTGAAAGAAAGTCAAGAAACTACATTATCGCTCATTGTTGTTGTTTGTTATTGTTGACACTAGAAACTTGAAAGTGGTCTCATGGAAGAGGCTACATTGTTTGTTGCTCGTTATTTTTGTTTGTTATTGTTGGCACTTGAAACTTGAAAGTGATCTCGTGGAAGAGGCTACATTATTTGTTGCTCATTATTGTTGTTTGTTATTATTGGCACTTGAAACTTGAAAATGGTCTCGTGGAAGAAGCTATACTGATGCATTATTATTACTTGTTAGATTGTTATTATGTTGTTGTGTTAGTGAAAAAACATTTTCACTAATTTCTTTCACTGATTTATGCCTAGCCCTAAGATTGTTATTATGTTGTTGTGTTGGTGAAAAAACAACTTCACTGATTTATGCCTAGCCCTAAGGTTAAACACTTTGATTTTTTAACTTGTGCAAATTGCCTTTGCGTAGTGAAAGACAATTCTATTAGTTAAGATTGGCGTACTTTGCTTAGTGAAAGGCAATACTTGGATTGCCCCCAAATTGGCGTGTTGTATGATTTTGTGAGACAAATTGGCGTGTTTTATGATTTTGGATTGCACCATAAACAGTGGTTCTTCTTTATAAGGTCACACAACATATTTATTTGTTAGATTTTATATATAACTAGTTAACATATCCGCGCTTCGCGCGAATATTATTAGATTTATGAATAAATTTTTTTGTTTAAAATCTATTTGGTATATTGTCTTTAGAAACAGGTAAAGATAGAAAAATAATTTCATGAAAATTTTCTTTTTGTTTATGCGGCTGTAGTAAATTCTAAATTATATTTTAGGAGGGAGTTAAATTATACAGTGTTCATAAAAAAAATATTAATGATAAAAGTTACTCTAAATAAATTGATAACCAATAATTTAATAAATTAGAAAACATATCATATATATATATATATATATATATATATATATATCTATATATGTGTGTGTGAATGAAATTCCTAGAGTGGAAATATACAACTAATTTCAAGTCATGCTTATCATATTATTTTATCTAAAATAATTACATCTTTTAGAATCTATTGCTTGTAAAATAATAAAAGGTTGACTTTTATTTTGGTGAAAATCATCTTCGGTATATTGAAAAATCATGTCAACACTACATAAGCAATTCAATAGGAGTATCATATTTTCATTATTCAACTAACAATATACTCTACTTAATTTTTTTAATTTAACATGAATCTAATATGAAAAGCAAACATTCAATATTTTTAAAAAAATAACAACACAATAATTATTATTACAGAACGAAAAAAAAGCAATTGTTGCAATATACCAAACTGTTAATAAACACTTATAAATTTATAATATATAAAAAAAATACTAATAAAATACAAAAACTCTATAGAAAATCTCTTTAAAATTGTTACTTGTAGCAACTAAGTAAGATAAGAAAAACTATATAACTTGCACATTAATTAC